ATTTAATTATCAATTCAGTTAAACAACTTATCAGAAAAATTTGTGATAGAAAAAAAAGAATATATGAATTTTCTGATTTTATTGAAAAAGATTTTTTTAAAGTTATCATTCGAAACTTATATAATATTATTAATGATAAATTAATATATATTGAAAGATTAGGTGGAATTATTAAAGATTGGAATTTTAAAACTAATTATAGTAAAGATTTGTATCAATAATTTTTAATAAAATTATTTTTTTAATGCTTCTAAAAATGCTGCCCAAAGATTGTCTCTATGTTTTCTACGCCAAATAAATTCTTTTAAATATTCTTCTATTAATTTTTTATCTCGATTACGAACTGAAATAAATTTTTTAAGAGCTTGCCACGTGCCTTCTATAGTATTTGAATGCACACCTGTACCTCTTTCAACTCTATTTCTTAAATGACAAACACGCCGATGCCTTAAATTTAATTCTTTAAGAGAATTTACATATGATTTGAAATGATCTGTATGAACTATACTTCCTGTTTTAACATATTTTCTAATTATTTTTTTTAAAGTTTCTTTATCTCTATTTTCCACAATCACAAAGAAACATTTTTTTTCTTTTGATCTTTCTATTCCTCCGAAAAGCCACCATGATTCATATTTCTTCATTTTTGTTTCATCTAATTCTACAATTATATTTTTACCTCCTATTATTTGATCTTGTTCTGTTAATGTGCTAATAACTAAATTTCTAAATATTTTTATATATTTTACAATCATAGTTGATGAATATGAAGTCATATTAGCTATTGAAGTATAATTTACTCTATTTAACCAAAGATATCCTATAAACAAAATATTATTACAGTCTAAACGTTGATTTGAAAAAAATGAATCATTATATATTGAAATAGATTTTTTACATTCTAAATTACTACATCTAAATAAAAGTTTCTTTACTTTATACAATTTACTATTACAAAGATTACATTTATCAGGTTTTTTAATAATATCTTTTTCAAATAAAAAAATTATACATTTATCTTCTTGAAATAAAATTTCTTTAATCAATTTTAAATTTGGTATTGTATTCATATTTTTTTTAAAAATATTAAAAAAAAATATATAAAGCTATTCTTTTATATATTTTTTTATTAAATTTAAAACAATGTTAAATGAAAATTTTGAACGAGAAACTAAAAATTCTTCATGGAAAAAAATTCATCCTACATTTAAAGTTTTTAGATTTATTATCGCTAGAAGAAAAAAAACAAAATCATTAACAAGTATCCAGAATTTTATAATATTTTTAGTGAAAGATAAATTTTTATTTAAATTTATTGAATAAAATAAAATATATACAAAAAAAAAAAAAAATTATTCATTTATGTTATCATCAATAATTTCTTCACTTATAAGTTCGATAACAATTTCTTTAGGTTCCTTTTGACCTTCTAATAATTTTTGTTTTTTACGTTCTATTTCTTTTTTAATTTTTTCTAATAAATTTTGTGTTTGACA